AAAAAAAAAACTTCTCCCTTGCTGTGAGAACCCAGCTCGTCTACCCCAGTGGCTCCCAATTAGCAGTTGATGGCCACCCCTACCGCTGGGAAGTCACAATGGCCATCCTAGCCTCTGTTGCGCATCACTTACCGCACCTTGCGAACGACTTTCCTCGCAGCATTGATGTTATAAATCGACCAGCTACCGACTTCCCAGTTGCCTACTTTTTACGGGACGATGCGGAGCGTGCTCTACTAAAGAGATTAGTAAATGACATTTGTGATGGCCAGACGTGCTTTCTGCCCGTAGGTCAGTGCAAAAGTCACGAGCTTCAATCACTGAGGATCTTCATATCCGAGGAGTCAGTCGAGACGTCGGTCAGCAAGCATGTCTCCAACATGTTCCCGGACAAACCTCACTTCCGCAAGATTATCTATTTGCTGCGGGGATTGCTCGTACACGGCATTTTGCTTCTCTGCCTGAAGAAGCGATGGAATGTCCAATACGGGCTCCATCCTACGCGCGACCCTATGGCCGTCCCATTCCTTGCCAAGGGCGTGCCGTCCGACCAGGCGGAATGGGGACATCCGGATGTTGCCATCCTGTTTACATGCCTTGCATTTTATCACCAAGGAATCAGTCTCAAACAGCTACGTCAGAGTCTCCAGGCGGTGCTCAGATCTGACGACCCGACTTCGGAATACGATCGCTGGACTCAAACATCAACTGCCTTGCCGGAATCTTTACGCCATTGGAACATCATAAATGTCGATGATGAAGGCCAGGTTTATGAGATTTGGCGGCATCTTCGTTTCAGGAAAGTGGTGATCGATTATTTCCTCAAATACTTTGTTTTCCCTATCCATGCCAAGCAGTTCACCATCAAATTGCAGGCTTCAGGATGGGACATCCCGTTGTTTGGGGAAGCCGAACAGTTGAATGGGGACGACTACCCTGAACACGCTGGAATTACAACTGGATTTAGTGGGACAAATGATAATCGACGTCTACTTCCTCTGACTATAGAGCAACATGATCTTCCAGAACTGGCTCACACGAATGCAGAGGTTCTCACTTATCTTCTGCAGCCAAGGAATCGCCAATACATGGTAGCTGCCGGTTCCGATGGCAGACGCCTCTCGGAACATGATTTGCTCGACCATCTTCGACTTAAGAAGATACGTATTTTGATTGATGCTGGCGCCTACATCCTCGAGATGGACAATCACACATTAGCCAGGGCTTGGTTACAACAAGATCAGGAGGCGTTAGCCGCAGTGTATTTCGGAGCGGACAATAGACCTTGGGTGCAGTATCAAACGGGTAAAATTGCTCCTTTGATCGCTACCCCCTTCGTGGACAATATGGATCGCTGTCTTGTCTATCTCGACGAAGCACACACTCGAGGAACAGATCTCAAACTTCCGCTTGATGCTCGGGGCGCCTTGACACTTGCTTTGCATCAAACTAAGGATCACACGGTACAAGGTATTAGATTCTACTTCACGTTCTCATTCCGAGTTCGTTAAAACGAAACCATTTCTGAGGTCTCTCATGCTAACTGTCTTATTAGCCGCCATGAGATTGCGACAACTAGGCACCACGCAATCCATCACTTTTGTCGCACCACCGGAGGTTCATCAAAGCATTCTAGACGTGCGAAACAAACAGACCAATGATCGTCTTGATTCATCGGATGTCATTGCATGGCTACTTCACCAAACTTGCGCCACAAATAAGGACTTGCTTCCTTTGTACTACGCTCAAGGTGCAGACTTTTGCTACCGCATGCAAGCTGCCGCAACTTACGAGAGCTTCCTAACTCGCAGAAGCCATCGGGAAAGATTTCTCGAGCGCCTGCAGCAGCCTGAACAACAAACCCTTGAACAGCTCTATGACCCTCAGACCCGAAAGAATTGCGAGGCGGCGTCAGCTCGGGAGGAGCTAAAACTGCGAGGCGTGCTGAAGACATTCATGCGAGACCTCGGGCGAAATCACGATCTGATTCAAGAACAGTACTCCTCCGCTCACACCTCAGCGCTGGAAGAAGTGGAGCAGGAGCGGGAGGTGGCATATGAGGTTCAGGAGGAAAGAGAGCTACAGCGACCTCGTCGTAGGAAAGCCCTTACCTTCCCTGGAATCCATCCAGCAATTCTGAGCTTTGTCGACTCCGGTGTATTGGAAGGCAAAGGGGGCTATATCAAGGCATCACAAATTCTTCTATCGACTGAGCTGGCTCTGAAGCACGGACTGAAAGCGCTCTCCATTGTCTCTCGGCTTTACGCCTCGGAGGAAATGATAAGATCGATTGAATTAAGGCGTGGGGAGAGAAATGACAACTACACGGTATGTATGTCTGTGAAATTGGGTGGGATTCAACTCATTGTGACTTACAGCGTCCTGTCCATTGGATCCTCTGGAGTATGAAGACAGACACTGCTCTCGTCATAATCCCGGAAGAAGCGGAAGCCCTGATCCCCATCATCCGCTCTATGGAGACTCCATATGTACATCTGATCCTCTACGCCGCGCCGTTCACCAAGAGAATGTTGCAGTTCAATCGTTTCAATTTCTACGCAATTCCATGTCTACCGGAGGGCTGGAATGCCCCTCTCTGGCTCCGTTTTGAGATCGGTATACTGGCAGGACGATTGTACTTCGAGCTTGATGAATACCAGGATTTGCTCGAGCGCCTCCATGTCGAGCTTGAAGGTAATTCGCGGCGTACTAAGGACACTACGTTACATTTTCTACAGGAATGGCTGGCCCTGCGTCGTCATGGTCAAGATATCTCCCATACACCAATGGGCTATGTGTGCCAGGGGTGGAGAATTCGCAACGATCATCCCTTCTTCTCGACCACGCACAAGGAAGATGAGAAGAGTGCGACTGAGCTCTTCTCCTCCGCCAAACATAACCTTGTCACCGCGGTGGAGGAGGTTTTCTACGATAGCGATGACGAAGATGTTGTTATTCTGGAAGGAGGTGACGACGGTGCATCAGATCATGGCGGAGAAATATACAATTTAGCAGATGGTAAGCGATCAAGTCCGCCCCAATCATACTGGTGTCATTCTTTTGCATTAAAAACGGTCCGGGGATGCTAATGTCTGGATGCAGGACTCGAAGGCATAAAGTTCAACTGATGTCGGAAGTCTGGCATAAATGGCCATGTGACGATTGCAGTTACGGACAGTATTCATGTATCTTAATGACACATATTTGAGTTGCATGAATGAGTGATTCGAATGCCATCGCAGCCACGGTTGAGTACAGCAACATAGTTATAGTTACTCTCCTAACCCACAAGGCCTCTCTCACTCTCTTGGACAACGACTTCTAGGCAATATGTGGTATGTTTCTCTTCTTAATTTTCCAGACAGTCGACAACGCACAAATTACTAACGTCTTCAGTCTTGCAGGTCATTAACAACAGCCAGATAATCGGAAATATTGCTACCGTGAAGGTTGAAAACAACTCAATTATATATAAGCGGTTTGATGGCGGGGAAGCTATTACTGCATGACCAATTACCACAAAAAAGAAAAAATGATATGCGCTATATGCAAATATACATATCTAGTGAGTGTCTTCGAAAACAGAAGATTATACATTAAAATTATATCAGGTCAAGCAGGTGTTTGCGTTCCCGAAGACCCTTCGATGGCACCCCCAAAACGACTTCCTCGCTTCAACCTCGGGCGGAAGGGGGTCCACCATGTGTCCGAGTTTGGGGTCGGGAGTACCTCGGTTTGCTCAATCAGAATCGACGACTTCCATTTCTCCTTGAAAAACCCGCTGGAGTTACTCGACGAACCCGGGCCCCGAGCAACATAGCTGCGGCTCTGGTACTTGCCGATCCAGAGCATTTGTTCATGTTCCCGGAGGTACCGATCACTCGAGAAATTGTTGTAGACGTTCGACCGACCCAGCATGCCAAGCTTTCGACGCTGCTCGGCCTTTTCGTACATACGCCGCGTGATCTGCTCCACTTCTTCAGGCGAAGGGTGCAACGATAAAGTTGGGGGCACATAGCCCTCCTCGTCCTCGGCAAAAGCGCTCCATTGGCCCAGTAAGGCCAGCACCCTGATTTGAGCGCTGGCCAGGGATATAGCATCGTTGGGCGCAACCACTTCGCTGAACTTCTTACCCGTTGTACGGTCAGTGACCACACAAAACGATGCACCGACGTCGGTGCAAACCACGGGCACACCAGTCAACGCAGCCTCGCCCATAGCCAACGGAAGACCTTCAGAAATGGACGAGTTCATGAACAACCACTGTACTGGATCAGCCACATATCACAAGAAGGAAAAGACAGAATATAACTTACAGCGTCTTGGAGGACCACGGATGGGTTTCCCAAACCTTTCAGGACAACATGCTCACGCAGGCCCTTCGACGCGATGATTTCCTGACACTCTGAGGCGTAGGCCGGCGCACGCTCCATGTCTCCATAGATGTGCAACCGATAGTCCTTGAAGCCCCAAATATTGACAATGAGGTCAGTTGCCATGATCGCTGTCTTGATGTCTTTGACATATCTGCGAGATGTCAGCTACTCAATCCGGCGAAATCAAATTCCTGGGACTTACCGAATATGCGATAACATGACTACCGTCGGGGTAGCAGTCTTGATTGTCTCAATTGGCTTGTATTTGTCCATGTTTGTGATTCCGTTCACAACCGGGTCAATCTTTCGACGGAAGGTCCGGCGATGCTGGAGGGCACCTTCGCAGGTTCCTAGTTCGATTTCCCATCCCGGATTGAAGTATTCGGCACATGGCAGGACAACGTCTGCGTGATGCTGGATCAGAACACACGAAAGATGTCCCAAGCCAATGAGAGTGGTATTGACAAAGGTCGAATCGAAGGAAACAGCTGATGACAAGAATGTGGTCATCTCACGAAAAGAGACGCAATGGTCCCAGACATGCAAGGCGCATTGACGCTTTACCTTGCACAGGATACCGTATGTAGCGCCCGTGAAGTGGTGCGAAACTTGGAAAACATCGGGAATCTTGTCGGGAACGGGGATGGAGAAGATAAAGAGATCTACCACTGTCAGTGATAATCGAAAATGGGACCGGCCAGTGAGTGATTAAGAACTTACAGCGGTGCCACATGTCCAATGCCGAGTCAAGCTGCAGGAGCGTGGGCCTTTCGGAATTCAACCATTGTGAAACAGGAACAGCGCCGGGCGTGTCCTCGCTGAGCCACATGCCTCTCCATGCCTGTTTGACAGTATCACTCATCCAGACATCGTTCCAACTGCGAGACGACTCAAAGTACGTGTTCAAGTCCACCAGGGCCCGTGTCGCTTCCTCGATATGTGAGCGGGTGAGGTGGACGGCTCGTGAACAGCGAACTAAACTGGATAGAATGGGGAGGAAGTTGCGTCGAATATCTTCAACCGTGGTGTCGTATGATTTTTCGACCACTGCGGAGTCCAAACAATTTTGGAACACCCCATGGGTCGGATTGAGGAAATCCAGACCCCATTGCGGCAGGACAGTCAGCGACTGCACGTTACGTTCGATCTGGAATCGGGGGACGCCAAAGTCGTTCGCCGCCTCGGCGAGGATGTGCCATCTGATATGCTTCAGATCGTTGACCATGTCCCTTCGGCATGCAGAGACACCTCCTGGCTCATTGGGCCAAGTGCCGGTGTCCATCGCCAAAACATGCAGCTCGCTGTCGGTATCTTGCAGCTGTGTCGACAGTGTACGTGTGTTGATCCTCGCGTCACCTCCTTGGCCGAAACTGTACAGGTCACTGATCTTGAAGGCCAGTTGTGTCCACGAACTGATTTCGGGATCAATATCGACACGAGCGAGAATGGTGTCTACCTGGGCGTCAAGATAGTCTGCTGCTGACTCCAGACGACCCCAGTCGCGCCGCCTCCAGTACGGACGGAGAATACGATCAGACCGGAGCAGAATCTCGTCTAACCACCGGGTAGTAACCGCATCGAATTCTTTCGAGGCTTTCCAAGATTTCCACAGATGTGTTCGAGCACGCGATGTTGGAATCGGATATTGCTTGACATTTAGTCCCAGGTGGCGGGAAATAATGTTCGTTTTGGTCGAAGAAAACGAGACAAGCGGATTGTCGTGCAAGAAGCTGCACCCAGTTGGCTTTTCGAGGACATGGAACCAGTCGTCACAGATCATGGGCGGCGTGGGAACGTGTTCGCCGTTTAGAGTAGTCGCAATGATCGGATGGAACTTGTGATCATAGGTCCACTGAGCATTGTAGACATCGCCATCTTGGATGAACACAGCCTCGGTGACCCGCGGATAGGGGATCCATTTGTCCAGGCGCTCCGGACGTGTGGGTGGCGGCATACTCCAGGCGACCTTGATTTTGATATGGGGAAAGACATACTCGGCACGAAGCAACTCGTCATCGAACTTCGCATTCTTGCGGTACCAGTACTGGAATTGGACGGGATTGACGCCTCTCATGGCGGACCCGGTGGTGATGTATCCTCGCTCGTCGTACTGGACAACTTGTCCTTCGAGCTCGCCAGCAAGGCACTGTCGCTGCATGGGCAGCTTTGCCCTGGAAGTTGAGGCATTCTCGGGATAATCATATACAAACTCGTTCTGCAGAGTTCCCTTGCTGTCATACTCTTCCCGACTGCGAAGAATGAGCTTGCCAGTGTATGTGTTGACGGCCACCAGATTCTGGCGTTGACTTGGTTCTTGCTCGTGCCGACCGGAGTACTGATAAAGTCGGGAACATCCGTCTGTCTCCTGATGCATGAAGCACGTTGTTAGACCGTTCAGACTTTCAAGAACGATACGGTGCTTTTCCAGCACCGTCCTCTGTCCTTTCATGTTCTTATAGAGCGCAGAAACCTTGTCTCGGCCATGCAACTACAGAAGATTAGCTCGGATCGTGGGTAGAGAAAGGATGACATACCAGAACAAAGGGGAGGATAAGGTCCTGCAAGGACTTGCAAAAAGACCAAATAGCAGTCAGAATATATGTGATTGGCCACGAGAAGACCAGCGACTGGCCGCGAAGTATATAGTTCAACTCTCGTTGATACTCGGGATCTGCGACCAATGAGAGCACTGTGAACTTGATACAGGTTCGAATCTTTTGAAGGAACCGCATGATTGTGACTCGGATAAAGTCGACAAGCCCCTTGTTCTTGAGCGGAACATCGGATGACACCGTGGTAATCAGTTGATCATAGCTGGAGTCCCGGAAATCCGATCTGGGTCCAAAGTCCTCATCATGGGCAGCGATCGCGCCGGCATACTGGCCTACAAGGACGGCCAGGGAAGTACTCAAGCTATACCTTGCAATGAAGCTGTGGAGGTCCACTTTGTCGGCTTGTCCAGCTCGAGAAAGAATCCATTCGGCATCGGGTGCAGAAAGGCGAGTTGGTTGGCCGCATGCTCTTTCCAACAAGAAGGCGTGGATATGCCGAGGCATGAGATCCCATTCCCTGTCAGGGTCCATTCCCAGGAGCAGGTGGCGGAGCATTGTTTTTTGAGCGTTGGCGATCACCCGTCCTCTTTCAGGGGAAGAGCCTTCGAGCTCGCGCTTGATGCCTTCAGGGACGGCAAGCGCACCACTGTCGTGATGCTGGACTACCAAGAGCTCTGCTAACATTGCATGGTCGTGCGAAAGCCCCACGAGACTTTCGGCCGTGACTTGAACGAGAGCCTCAGCGATGGCTCGGCAATTGCGACGAATGTTCACGACCCATTCATCCCCAACAAGGTCCAGGCTGATCAAAATGAAGACATGAAGCCGATCTCCTGTTCTTTGTGTGATCGCGCGCATGGTTGGCTCCTGTTGTTGCAGCAGGAGATGACGCGTTGACACAAGCTCGACAACTGTTTCTCCTGATTGCCATAGCTCGGCTGTGCGATGCAAGATAGTCCCTGCTTGAGGAAAGGCTTGTTGCAAGCTGGGAGGTGTCCTGGTTCCGCTCTCGGAGCGAAGAATATGCATCACCTCCATACCAGGGTGTTGAGAAGGATCCAGCTTGTACCGGAGCTCGGGAGAAAGAGCACAGATTGCACCAAATGTATGGGATAATGTGGTTTGTGAGAAGTCCGGATCTGGCTCCAGCGTGCTGCAGGTGTACGATACCGTATCCTTGTCCTTGGCAACCCCTGTCAAGTTCTGACCACGGGGCCACCCCACGTCAGCCCTGAAGAAAGACACAATCGCCGTCGTCCAGGTGCCAACAGACAATCCGAGCACACCGCCGTAAGCAAAGTCCCGCGCGAGGACTCGCAGCAGGATGCAAGCCAGGAAACCAACAACCGCGCCGACAGTCAGTGCTCGATCCGATCGGAATCCAGTGTAAATTCTGTTATACTGGTACCAAAGAAGACCCGTATATGCACCGATATACGCCAAGTACATGATGGTGGCGCTGCGTGAGCCTTCAAAGGTCCACATCAGAGCGCATGTGACTGCAATGGCCCAGATATGAAGGAACGCAAATTTGAGCAGATTTCGCCAGTACAGCGCCCGTCGAGCGCGTGCATCATTGCGCGTGGCTTCCCGCAGGAACTCGAGGGAGGGAATCGGCTGAGGTGTCTTCTGATGTGCCAGCGTCCACAGCGGCTGCGAGACGCCATCGAGCATGACAGCACCTATTAGATAATAACACAGACCGAAACCTACAGCCAAGCGATAAGTCTCACTTGACGCGGAGGAGAGTCCCACCAGTCCTTCGCCGGTGAACAAGGCCGTCCACTTGTCCATCAGGGCGATGATGAAGTAGAGAATTCCGCCCCAGACGTCTTTACCCGTGTGCCGCCAGTGGAGGAAAGCATTATGCAATTTGAGTCCCTTTTGCATGTCGCCCATGGTGTCAACGGCGGCTTTGAGCTGCAAGTTCCACGTCGGACTGTAGGCAAGAGGAAGCCTTGTCCGGGAGAATTTGCAGTACCACACAAGCAGAAACATTGTCGCAGAATATTCCTCGGCAAGACGCTTGACGAACGGGTCCGCCGTGGACCTGGTCCAGAACCAGCGCTTCCGTTCCTTCAGCACGCAGGCCAGTAATGTCTGACGGGCTAGGGCAGTGGATGCTAACTCCTTATCGGCATCATCAATAGATCCACTGGCCAGATATGTCCGCTGGTACCAGTCGACTACTTGGCCGTCTGTGATGCAGGGAATGTGCAGGTACCAATTGTTCCACTTGGCGATCACACGTCGAGCACCGAGCAATAATGCTGCCAAAAAGACGGCCAGTACGCAAGGATAGATGATGATGTCGTGTTGGACCCAAATGGTGAGAACGGGAGAGATGAACAGGATGGGAATGCAGCTCATAATCACCGTGCGGCCCTGTCAAGGTCAGTATCAATTCCCATTACCCTGTCCGTGAAAAAGACTTACCGACTGGAACTGGAATCCCGGGAGCTGATAGATTGATAATGCAGACAGCGTCATCAGATATACCGTGAGCATCATCAGGTATGCGAAGAAGACAACAGCAGACACAAAGTCTTTGGCGATTCCGATCCCAAGGAATGCTAAGATACCTCCCACGGAGACGACTGCTAGACCGGCAATGAACCGGGTCATGACGAACATGCTCATCGCAGGAAAGGCCATGGCATATAGATAGTAGCTGCCTCCCGAGCTGATCCAACCGCCGAAGCCACCGCAGAGTAGCAGCGCAACCATCAAGGCGGTGGTCGCCATTGTTTTATCAGTATTGCTCATGAATGTTGTGAGATACAGGCCGCGTCCGATGGTCGTCAGGAGAGTGATATCAATCAGCGCCGGAACTGCAAAGATACCGAGGAACGTAACGCGGTAGGACCATGGGAGGTCCTCTTGCCCTCCGTTGGGATCCAGATCGATGTCCATGGAGGCATAAGCAGTGGGAAGATCGGTGAACGCTTCCTCTCGTCGAGGCGGTTGGTGCTGGTGATAATATGCGCGGATACGATCGGACAAGATCTTGCCAATGGCCTTGGGCGTCATGTCAATGTAAGCATCGCACCTGGCCCCGACTGCATAATTTTCAGCGAAGCAAGATGTTTGCACGTGGTGGAGATTCGGACGCGGGTTACGATCAAGAACCTCGAGGTAGATCTCATTCATTGCCAGCCTACGAAAGGCGCAGAAGACGGACAGGGCCAGAAAGTCTGCTTTGACATCAATCCGGCCCGGCTGGAGAATAGCCTCTATGGCCTCGGTAAGCCGAGCCAGACTCATGCTGTCTGCCTCAATGAGCATCTCAGGAAGACGCGTGTCAATCTCTTCAAACAGTGCCAGAGCCGTTCTGGGTTCGAGGGATGCGCAGCCCTGGTCGTGGTACCAGGCCAGACGCCCCTCGACGAGCTGTTTAGCCGACACTTCCCCACTGAGATAGGCCGTCGAAGTCATAGCCCGCAACTGGCTCAGAGTTGGGACTTCCAGCAGTTGAAATTCACAGCACGGGCGAACTTTAGCCACTAAGGCCGACGACACTTTGCATGTCGACAGTGTCAACCGTTGCATCCAGAGCAGGGCTTCTGCGGGACTGAGGTCTTCGATGTCGTTCACCAGTCGAGGAGGCAGATCCCACTTTGGAGAAAGTGTGTTTCTGGCATCCGCAAGGGCGATTTCCGCCGTGAAGCATTCGTACCGACTGAATTTGCGACGCGATAGGAAGGTGTGTAAGATGGTTCCCGTCCGATCAACCGTCTTGCCAGAGATGTAAATGTCCATCGCGCCCGTGAGGGAATCAACTTCATACATGCCCCAGACCTGGGACTCGCTGCGCGTGCGGAATCCGGAGTGTAAGCCGACCCAGATGCGAAGATTGTCATTTTCCGCACCGTTACCAGAGGAAAGCAGATCAATCAATTCTTGGATCGTGGCAAACATTGCGCCCGCACCGCTGGAAGCTTTCTGCGATTTGAGGAGAGCACGCAGGTCCGCCGCGATACGACGCAGCTCCTCTGCTTGAATCCGGTCTAGTAGGTCTAGGTCACGGATGCTCCGTTGCGCCTCGAGAAGGTCATTGATATCTTTTTCAGAGCAGTGAAGGCCCATTTGAAAACAGCCCAGACCGGTGTAGTCGACACCGTCGGGGGAAACAGAGAAGGGATTCATGTGTGCGTAATCCATTTTGGATGGCCAATCAACTGCATCGATGTGTATCGCGCGCGCATCGACCAGTGACCGATTTGGACGAGGAACGATGGTCATTTTCTCGAGGATATCCGGTACGAAGCTCCTCAGAGTTTCGTACTGAGCATCGTTCTCAGCTGAGACTCCCGTCACCTGCACGTACGTCAGCTTTAGAACTTGCTACAGATGGAGTGGAGTGCTTACCTTGTCATTGAAGCGCCAATTGTCGTGGGCCTTGAGCACAACATCGTCCTTCAGCCACATCAATGCTCCCAAGGGCTCGTTCTTGATTGCTCGACGAGCGGCAATCTTGGCGTCGGTCAGAGCGGATCGAGGACCAATCCAGGTCATGGCGCTGTTGTAACCGCACCACTTGAATGTCCGTTGGAGAACATGGTGGGATACGTCGACATCATCCTCAACCGTCTCCCACATGGCGAGAGTGCAGCCTCCCATGGCTTTTTGGGCAGCCACAACTCGCATGGCCGTCCGCATCTTTTCCATCTGGAAGTAGTCCCGTTGGTTGCCGTCGCGGAATATCGTACCATTACGGTAGACAACGCCCCGGATGCGACTTATGTTGATGTCGCGACATTCACGTTCACTGAGATAATCGGGAGGGGACATCTCCAGCCACACATCGAGGCCAATACCATTGATGTACTGAACCAAGTGGTTAAGTACAACCGGTTGGAAATGCTTCTGCCAGTCTGCCAGGAGGACCCCGTGAAGTGGGGACTCCCTTCCTTGCGGATGACTGAAATTCGAGATGACTGTTTGAGCAACGACACACAAAGCTTGAATGACTTCATCGATCGTGATGCTTGTCTCCTGGTTCACCAAACTCTGAACATCCAGGCGACCAAGGACGTGAGCGGAGGTGCAATGACTGAATATAGCGCTCACCACCCCAGGTTGAAGAGGGTCGACCACGATGACGTCCCATCGCGCCAGTAGGGACGATTGCTCTGGACTAGGAGGGCTTGATACCGACCCCAGATATGCCCCGAATGACTTCAATTCGACATTTGCGGGGTTCTGCGAACGCAGAGGTTTCGTTTCCCTCTTCAAGCGGTCAAGATAACGAGTGATGGCCGCAGGGGCGGCTGACAGTTGACGTCTCCCCTATTTCCAGCGCGGATCAGTATCAATGATGAGAGACAGGAGGAGCGAACGTACCTTCCAGCGAGCATAAAGCTTCTTTCCGATGATGAACAGGATGTATAGGCAGCCCAGGATGATGGTGGTCAGTAGCAGAACAGCGAGTACTTTGTCCCACCAGGTCTTCAGCATTCCATGCCATCCAATGGCATGGAGACCCAGATATTCTGGCCCCATAGCGAACGAAATCTGGGCAACAGAGACACGATAACGAGTGATATGCACAAACCTACAGATGCATGGGTGTTCGGATCTATATGATGATGATATAAAGCCAGAAGCCACCACCAATCTGCCGGCTATCTATTCCAACTAGAGTCTGACGAGAGTCAGTGATACATCTCTATGACAGATACGAGGTCAAGTTCATGGTGGCTGAGCTACAAGTGCCTGTGCTTAAGAATCAAACGCAGTATTGATTTCAGCTCGATCTTGCCGCCCAAATTTACCATGGGGACGAGGCCGAAACCGCAGCAGCACTAGTGCAGCAGTGGTCTGAGCCAAAAATAAATCTTTATCAAGAACCCTGTCTATGACCGTATCTGAGTTCAAGGGTGGGATGCATCTAGCGAGCCAAGGGTCTGGATGTGTCTTGGTCCTCAGCCGCTAGTTCTGGTAAAATGCTGTTGCTCTCGGGCCTCCAGTGAGGAGAGTTGGGGACAGTCCGTCCTCAGGTATTTGTAGAGGATCACTTGGACTTTGATACAGATCCGTCTTTGCGTTGTGATCTCCATCACTGTCAAGTGGCTTACGTGCTCTTCCCCCCAATCGATCCACCACGCTCGACCCGAAATGGCCTCTTCGAAGGTGAAAGGACGACGAAATCTGTGGATTGGCATCGGTGTGGCCGTTGCCATTGTGGTGATTATTGTCATTGTGGTGCCATTGGCGGTTATCCTGCCCAAGAAGCATCATGGCAAGAAGGCTACGATCCTGTTCCCCCTCTACATCTGGCCAGAAACAAACAGTACATGGGATCCACTCTACGAGGAGTAAGTTTGCCTTTCCCCGATCAAGAGGGAGAGTTGGTCGAATTGATGTCGTCAGAGTTACCAACTACCCCGATCTCAACTTTACCATCATCATCAATCCCAGCAGTGGTCCGGGAAACAGCTCGCAGCCCACCTCGCAGTACGCGTACCAGATCAAGCGGCTGAATGCGTACCCGAATGTGCGGACCGTAGGATACGTGCGCACAGGCTATGCGAGCCGGAATCTCACCACGGTGCTGCAGGAGGTGGACACCTACTCGGGGTGGGCAGCGCAATCGCCAACGCTTGCCATGCATGGGATCTTTTTCGACGAGGTACCCAGCGAGTATGCCACGTCCTCGGCCGAATACCTGGCTACGATCAATGAAGCGGCCAAGAACGCCTCCGGACTGAGGCCAGACCGAACGGTGAGCCATCCGTGTCTCTGTTTGTTTGCGTATTTCTGTTTCAGTACGCTTTTCAGTGCGCTAGACAGGGCATACTGAACTCAAAGCTGCCTGGCGCCGAGACATGCTTTTGAGGCTCTACTGATGATTCATCGTGATAGGTGATCCATAACCCGGGCGCGATCCCAGACTCCCGATATAGTACTATCGAAGGCACAGATGTGACTGTTGTCTTTGAGCAGTCCTATCAGGAGTATCACACCAAGCATGCGAACCTGCAAGCGCTTCCTGCGAACCGGACCGCCTACAGCTACATGATCCACTCGGTTCCTTCGATGAATAATGGAACGCTCCGCAGCTTGGTAGACGATCTGAGCGAGCGCGCGGAGTATCTGTTTCTCACGACGCTGAGCCAGAATTTCTATGAGAGTTTTGACCCACAGTTACCCACTCTGTGTGCTGTCATGCCAAGTTGACGTGGATGAACCCATGGTATTGGACGCGGGGAGAGCGATGTTTGACTTTCGATCACTTTGCATGTATCCGTAATGGAATTATCTTTTTCTGGATTTTCGCAGCCTTGATTAGTGGCTTTGTACTTCGTATTGATCAAGCTTTGATAGTGCTCGACCAGAAATTGAATGGCTGGCTGGCAGCGAAATGTGATATCGCGACTGGCCATCAACGGCGCCACATGGCTGCATCTCTGCAGGTCGTCAGCACTAGATGACTCCCTATCTCATAATCTTGTAGGCCAGACCTGGTAGGCCATGTTTTGGGCGCAGTGGGTTCCTGCTTACAGTGACACAGTGACCGTGACAGAGATGCAGACTAACCCCTGTCAATCAGACCAGTCTATTTAGCATTCATCCATTTCTACCAAGGACGGAGAAACTCACTTGACAGTAGACACCGAATCTGACCGAATACCGGCCTCAATCTCTATCACTTTTCGCCATCTTCTTTGAATATTACCACACGTCGGCAACAATGGCCCCAAAATCAGGAGTCCTGGTACCTTTGTACATTTATCCCCTGTCGACGACGACCTGGGCCCCACTCTACGAGGCGTGAGTTTCCGACCAATCCTCTACATTCTGTACAGTCGGTATCATTAACCGCTTTCAGTATCACAGCCCATCCTGATCTAGATTTCCTGGTGGTGGTGAACCCCAACAGCGGACCGGGCGAGTTGCCTTCCCCGAACAAGGATTATGCCCGCGAGGTCCCCCGGCTGAACGCCTTTGCGAACGTCTACACGGTCGGCTACATTCGCATCCACTACTGCAGCAAGCCTCTCGAGACGGTCTACGAGGAGATTGATCGGTACGCCAGCTGGTCGCACTCCGATGGCCTAGGACTGGGTGGGATTCTCCTGGACGAGACCCCGAACCACTACTCCGAGGAGCTGGAAGCGTACCTGCTGGCTTGCACAAAGTATATCAAGAATCATCCGGGGATCCTGCGCGAGCGAATGGTTTGTTTACACTTTTTCAGGTTTCACATGGGAATTGTCTCACAGAGTGTTGACGTCTTTGACCTGGCTGATGGCTGACGCTACTATTTTTACTTGTCAGGTCGTCCATAACCCTGGAACGCCTCCCGATGCCGGTTTGGCGGACACCTGTCCGGATCTCATTCTCACCTGCGAAGAGCCATATGCGCGATACTGCTCGGACGAGGTGCAGCACCGTCTCGGCGAGCTGCCCTATGATCGAAGCCGGTGTGGGTACATGATCAATGCGGTGCCTGTGAGCGAGCTGGCGGGATTGGTGCGTGAATTGCGCGACCGGGCGGCTTATCTGTTTGTCACGGAGGTGCATGGAGACTTCTATGAGCGATTTGGACCAACCAGTTGGGGGGAATTGATGCACGCGCTGGAGAGATAAAAGATAGTGCTAGTATCTGTCTAGTGTCTAGACGGTCGAATCTCGATCTGTCATTATTGCGCACTTTAGCTGTCACTGGAGCCAACTTGGCATGCACTAGTAGAACCCACTGAGCTGAAGCGCCAGTCGCCACATTGGATCGTTGGGTTTCACATGTCGATATCCAGGTGGATCTCCTCAATAATTGGTCGATAACGGTGAGACATCCACAGAAACGCCTCCATTGATATAGTGTGGAATATCGGCAGTTGCCTACTTGGTGCACCGCCAGCACATCAAGCTGACTGCAGAGGGCCATGACTGTGCCATTAATAGGCAAATAATGGCGACATGATAACGACACAAAGTATATTCCTCGTACGGAGTAAAGACTTACGGTATGTATTGTATGGCTAGTACGAGACAGACGGTCATACAAGCCATGTCTCGGCTATGATCTCCAGCTTGGAGATGAAAATAGCGACAGGGACAGGAAGTGCATGGCAAAATCAATGGATGGCAATGAATCATGACGAGGAGGATTGAGATCCGTTTGGACTTTATTGTCTGCGATGAGCCTCCTGGGCTGCAATTCTTTGCTCCGATACTTGTCCAAGCACTATGACGATGACTTCAAGTTCGCATTCAGAAAGAAGCCCGTCTGCTTCTCCGCGGCTCTTCTCTGAAGTCCCGACGCCAGACAGCGAGACGGACGGTCTCTTTGACTCGTTGACCCCTGTCACTGATGGCGAGCAGTATGTCCTTGTCACCGGGGGACTGGGATTCATCGGCAGCCATACCTGTCTGGAGCTGATGAAGGCGGGATACAATGTCCTCATCGTCGACGACCTGAGTAACAGCTACCGTCATGTGTTTTCCCGGATTCTGCTAGCAGCGAAACTCCACTTCGACGGCACGGACGGCCACTGTCCTAAGGCGACGCTGTACGATGTCGACTACCGCGACATGTCTGCCATGAGGGACCTGCTGGACTCCTCTACCCGGCAATCGAGCATCATCGGGGTCATCCACTTTGCAGCCTTCAAGCAGGTCGAAGAGAGCATCCGCACCCCGCTCAAGTACTACCGCAACAACATCAACGGGCTCGTCGACCTCCTCACCCTGCTGGACCAGTACCGCATCACCACCTTCATCTTCTCCTCCTCCGCAAACGTCTACGGCAAACTCGCCGAGCACCGCCCGATCCTTCGCGAGGAAGAATGCCCCCATCAACCCGACCTCCCC